TCCCCTTTAAAGCAAGAAAGCAGAAAGACCCTTGAGTAGCTGCGTAGCATTTTAGATATTCGAATGGTTTTAACTCATGTGCGGGTCATTAAATTAGGTTGTAAATCTAAGAGCATAGGTCAAGCTGGAAGGACTTGGGTGGGGGGGGCAACAGAGTAAGAGTGATGAGAGTAAGTTCAGGTCATGAGGATGTCTGTGGAGAAACTTGAAAAGGAATCAGCAATCTTCTCTTATTATTTAGAGGTTTGGGTCGTCCTTTTGGAATGTAGCCCTGTAATGCAATGCTAAATCAAGGTTAGCAAATGGCCCATGCAGTGGCAGGATCTTATGGGCCCTAGTGCAAAAAAACGAATACCCCCCTGTAAGAAAACAACTTTTAATGAGCAAAAAAGACAACATAATTTGCTTCTTTGCTTTCCATTGTTATATCTCAAACAAGTCTATGCTCTTAAGGCAGTGCTGTCCAGTCTAATCTGCAGAGGTCTGCACGTTTTCAGTTCAAGAAGGCAGGAGGTCACCTGATGAAATGTTTAAAGAGTAGGACCAACTGATTAAACAAGTAGAATCAGGTGTGCTCCAGCTTGTTTGGAGTGAAAACCTGCAGCCACACTGGCCCTTTGTGGATAAGATTGGACAACCCTGTCTTAAGGTATCCACCCGCTAGCATCTAACAGTGACCTAAATGCTTATGATAAACTACTTATTTAAGATTTTAGAGTAATGAATAATGAATACATGACGTTACAGGTTGCGAAGTATCTGTTTGAATGGGTGGAGCAGTAACCATGGATGAGCTGCCTTATGAATAAGCGGGCAGATAAACAGACGTCTGTATAGCGTTGATGGAAGCTGTGGAGGTGTGTTGTTAAAGGGGAATTCCACCCATTTTCTATATTTCTGCACAATTCAATGGTTGAGATGTAAACAAAGTCATTTGGAGTGGTTTGATGTGAAACGGTTCAGACATGGAGAAACTTACAGACTCTTTCTTTACAGTGGCGGTGATAGGAACCAGGGGTCATAATGTCTACAGCACAAATATAACTATTTAATTTACTATCCAAAACCACCAGTGAAGCTATGTGTCTTCTGAGTTTTTATATGGAATGTTGATGATGGTAAAATAGTGATCAATCTGAAAAAAAAGTTTTAAAAGTTTTAAAAAGTTTTATTAGGGACTATTTTGCCTTCTAACACTCTGCATGTGCCTCTCTGCCAGAAATGCACTTTAAAAATAGAAGTTTTAGGCCAAACTGTAAAATCAGGTTTGATACACCTACCTGTTTCAGACGTTTGGTTCCATATTCCAGTTCTGACGCTGTAAGTTTGTCTAGAACGGAAAATTTAACACCAAACCACTCTGAATGACTTTGTTTACATCTTAACTTTTAATTATGTAGACAATAATATGACAAAAACTGTGAAATCCCCCTTTAAGAAAATAGAAAAATAGACCTTTCTGTGTGTCATTTGTGTACAGCTGTGTCAGTATCTCTATGAGAGGCCCAATACAGGCCTGGGCCGCAGTGAGATTGCTCCCCCTGCCCCTGTAAATAAGTCACTGGGCCCATGGTAGAGCTAATTATCAGTGGATTCCAGGACAGTAATTAATGGAACATGGGTGATTTAAAGAGCCATTATCAGTGTTTTAGATTGATAACTAAATTATCTAAGTGATGGTTATAAAGTCGATTTATAGAGTCGTCACAGTGTTGGCTCACCATAGCATTACACTACTCGTTTCAAATGACATAACTAAAAAGTGATGTGTAAATACATGTATAAAGATCAAAAACCCTGTGTGCATTATTTATCAAAGGTGACCCTTTAAAGGGATCATCTCATGGAAAACTGAGCTGTCCTCACCTTTAAAAAATCAAACCATTTGTATGGAAACATTGTTGAAGCTTAAAAACATTCCTGCAGAAAAAAATCATAGAAACCATTAAACGTTTCTGTTGGTCTCTGGTGGTGTCCAACAGTCACTAATGGTATTTTGTGTTTTCCTGATGGGCTGATATCACAGAGTAAAGGATTCTAATGGTTTAACAGGTGTTCTGGGACTGAATTCCAGATGCTTCCTAATGGCATCTAAATGTGTCCTACAGGAAACTAGTGGTCTCTAATGGTAACCGTTAAGCCAATTCCCATTAGAAAGCAAAACCATCAGGTTTTAATCCTAATGGTTCTAATGGTTATGCCATTCACTCCTCAGTGCATACATTCCAAATATGAAAACTAAGCTACAAAAACAGCTCATGTTGAACTCACTGTTTTTGCGACATCACACATTTACATATATCCACCTATTCTGCCTACAGCCCACCCATTCACACTAAAGTTATAAGGCGTGTTTCAACCCAGATGGCTTTTTGAATGAAGCTTAATACATGGTTGTGTTCTGATTGGCAGAAAAAAAACAGCCTGTTTAATTCTAAGGGATACAGAGAGGATTGAATGTGGTCATGTACGAATGAATTATGGTGATTTTGGTACATTAAGCATGAAGTAAACAAGGGAAAACGTAAAATGCAAGAATAATGTAGGTTATGGGCCCTTAACTTTGGTCGAAGGCTGTATGAACATGGAAGTGTCTCTCTAACTCTACCTGGTGGTTGATTTTCATAAAGTCAGTAGAACTGCAGGGCTTTCAGCACCACCTAGTGGTCATTTTAAGCGCATAGTTTATGCAACAAAGGAAAACGGTCACCTTAACTGGAAGTACAGTCATGCAAAAGTTTGAGCACCCTTGGGCAAATTCCATGTTTTGTTGATTTTCTAAATGTGTAAATAAGTGAATACATCCTCTACAGAGACACACTTCTGCACACTTTGATCCACAATTACTGTTTTTTCGTTGAATTTAACACATCGGGAAAATAATAAAACATAAAGAACTGCACAACTGGAGGATGAACATTATTCCAGTTCTTTTTAAGAGCAACACAGATGGGGCCTTTCACTTTCCCTAAACAGGCTCAATAGGGTCGAAGTCTGGTGATATCAAAAACTGTAAAATGAAATGGAAGTAATTAAATAGCCTATAAGTTATTCATTTTTTCAGGAGGTATTTCTGAAGAGGTTAGATATAAGATTAGCCACCTATATACGGAGAAAGTCGAAGAAAAATAAGTGAAAAGGTTGTTTCGAAAACTGCAGTTCAAAAAATTATTAACCGCTACAGAGAAAATGGGCCTACTAACAACCACCTGGAAGACCTGGTAGACACCAAAACTGCCCCCATCAGATAAACAGCACTTAAAGCTTTCATCTTTGAGAGAGAGGAGAAAATCAAGCTGCTTCAGATCTGAAAACATCCACAGGTGTTTCGGTCCATCCTTCCACTGTGAGAAGACGACTCAGCGCTATGGGTCTGAAAGGATGTGTAGCACGAACGTGTTTGGATTACGTGGATCGTGAGAAGCAGAAAATACAGCCAACTTCTAAGACTGAACTTTGGAGGTGTGGAGAAACATCCCTGCAGATATATTCCTATAAAAAACTAAAAGTAAGTCTCCTGAAAAAGTTTATATTAGATTTATTTGTTAAATATGTGCTTTCTACTTTTTTTCCAAACATTGATAAAAGAATGGCTCTATACAGAACCTGTATGAAAATGGTTCTGCTGCTATTGTGAAGATGCCAAGTTTGTAACAATAGAAGAACGCTTTTGGTGCTTTTTCAAAAATGTTCTACATAGAACCATACAGCCTACAACACAATCTCCATCCATCTGAAGAACCATTTCACCATGCAAAGAGCCATTTAAGCATGAAATGGTTCTATATACACCGATCAGGCATAACATTATGACCACCTCCTTGTTTCTATGCTCATTGTCCATTTTATCAGCTCCACTTACTATATAGGTGCATGTCGTAGTTCTACAGTTACAGACTGTAGTCCATCTGTTTCTCTGCATACTTTGTTAGCCCCCTTTCACCTTGTTCGTCAGTGGTCAGGACCCCCATGGACCCTCACAGAGCAGGTACTATTTGGGTGGTGGCTCATTCTCAGCACTGCAGTAACACTGACGTGGTGGTGGTGTGTTAGTGTGTGTTGTGCTGGTCTGAGTGGATCAGACACAGCAGTGCTGCTGGAGTTTTTAAACACCTCAGTGTCACTGCTGGACTGAGAATAGTCCACCAACCAAAAACATCCAGCCAACAGCGTCCTGTGGGCAGCGTTCTCGTGACCACTGATGAAGGACTAGAGGATGACCAACACAAACTGTGCAGCAGCAGATGAGCTATCGCCTCTGACTTTACATCTACAAGGTGGACTGACAAGGTAGGAGTGTCTAATAGAGTGGACAGTGAGTGGACACAGTGCTTAAAAACTCCAGCAGCACTGCTGTGTCTGATCCACTCGTACCAGCACAACACACACTAACACACCACCACCACGTCAGTGTTACTGCAGTGCTGAGAATGACCCACCACTCAAATAGTACCTGCTCTGTGAGGGTCCATGGGGGTCCTGACCACTGAAGAACAGGGTAAAAGGGGGCTAACAAAGTATGCAGAGAAACAGATGGACTACAGTCTGTAATTGTAGAACTACAAAGTGCCCCTGTATAGTAAGTGGACAATGAGCGTAGAAACAAGGAGGTGGTCATAATGTTATGCCTGATCGGTGTAGAACACATGGTTCTAAATAGAAACCATTGCCTTTACTAAAGAACACTTGAAGGACAATGTTTTTTAAGAGTGTATAAGGTATGATTTTGTATATTTTTAGTGTATTACTATCTCAATTAACATCTTGAGTCTAAATAAATCATAACAATCACCGTAAATATCTAAGGTCTGAATATTTCATTGCTTTTATTAAATATATTTTTTACTGTGAGACCTGGGTTTGAACTAATTCAGCAGGATGGTCCATGTACACTAGACTTATTGTACCATAGACAGTGTTCACTGCTTTAGGGAGTGAACTGGAGCTCACAGTAGACTGTATAATAAGGCTCAGTGCTCTGCTGTATTGTTCAGTAGCTCGTTGCTGGTAGTATCAGTGAGTGGAATGTGAACAGAGTGGGCTGGTTGGTATTGTAGAGCTGCAGTTTTGCTCTGGGCTGAAAGACAGACGCAGTTCCTCATGTTTCCACCCCGCAGCGTGTTCGTCCAGGTGAGCAGATTCACCTCCACTCAGCAGGTACACAGGTGCTACAGGTACAGCTGCTTCCCACACACATCTCACCATTCCATACAGTAAACCGAAACGTCCTGGAACGACAATGGCTTGAGGGTCGAAACGATAATGAAAGTCGTTTGAGGAACTACTAGAGGATAAATCTCAACTCTGTGGATCAAACTAGAGCCAAAAGTGAGTAAACGCTGTCATGGCTAATCTAACTTAACTACTGCTCCGTTTTGTTAGCTAGCCTACGTGACCAACGACCATTTCTTCAAGTTACGCCTCTTAAAACACACGTTTATGTGGTTTAGCAGGTCGTTTGAGGTGTATATGTGAGATATTTTGGCTTTCCAGGCGATAACAGCCAGCAGAAATATTAACTTTTAGTCTTAATGTGGAAATTTTACAACCGAAACCAAACGAGAGCTTGCTAACTGGGCGAATGCCACAGACAGGCGAGGGGACAGCGGTGGGAGTGAAAGCTGCTCATATTTTTCTCATATTTCTGACGGTTTTTTCTGTCTTTTTCCTACGTTACAGCTAAACAGAAATGCGTATACTTCTGCTTGTGTTGTGTAATGTCACTTTTTGTGGACACTCTGCGTGGGCAAGGAACATACAGAGCTCAGAGCAGGAAGAAAGAAATGCAGGTGAGTTTCTTTTCCCTTTAAAGTTACTCGGAGCGGTGAGGTTTGTCTACTGTTGAGACCTGAAACGCAGCTTAAAGGGGAACTCCACAGTTTTTGTTTTTTTTTACAAAATTCTTGTATAATTAAATCATCGAGATGTTGAGAGAGTCGTTCAGAGTGGTTTGGAGTGAAAGGCTCTGTTACAGAGGAACTTGTCAAGTCAGAACTGTTCACAGTGGTGGTGATAGGAACCAGACGACCACCTCTAAAAGCTCCCTCACAGAAAGTTATTACATTAAATGGTTATGAATGAATTCCTAAGTGACTTAGACATTGTTTTACGATAGTTTTGCGATTGGGTTTTGGCTTAAAACATGTTTAGTGGTACATGCAAGGCGTTCTAAGGCAAAATAGTTCCCTCAAATAATTCTTTTTCCTGATTTTCCACTATTTTACCATCATCGACATTATATATAAAAACTTAGAAGACACTTGTAGGTTCAGTGGTGGTTTTGGATAGTAAATAAAATGGCTGTGTTTGTCTTGTAGACATTGTGACCCCTGGTTCCTATTACTACCACTGTAAAGAAATCTGAATCTGTAAGTTTCTCTACGTCTGAACCGTTTCACATCAAAGCACTCCGCATAACTTTGTTTACATCTCAACCATTGAATTGTGCAGAAGTGTTGAAAAATGGGTGGAATTCCCCTTTAACAACACACCTCCCCAGTTATTTTCCATCAACAATATATAGATGTCTGTTTATCTCCCGCTTATTCATAAAGCAGCTAATCCATGGTAGCTGTTTTCAAACAGATCCTTCACAACCTGCAACGTCATGTGTTCATTATTCATAACTCTAAAATCTTACATAAGTAGTTTGATGTAAGCATTCAGGTCAATGTTAGATGTTAGTTGGGTGGATGCCTTAAGAGCATAGACTTGTTTGAGATATAACAATAAGAAAACAAGCAAATTACATTATATTTTTATGTCTGTGAACTGTAAGTTTCTCTCTAGGTAAACATTTCACATCAAACCACTCGGAACGACTTTGTTTACGATTGAACTATGCATAAATTTAAAAAAATTGGTGGAACTCCCCTTTAATGCTAAATATAAACCAACACAGACCCATAATATGGGTAATATGGGTTCAGCTGGTCATGGTCACAGCCTTATCTAGCTAATGACAAATGGGTTGAACTGATGTTACTGTAGACTTGTTACTCAAGAGGTGGGCAGAATGGCCTAAAATAGGCTACTAAAACCATGCATAGTAAACTTATGTAGTTCAATGTAATAATGATACAGGTTGAAGTAAAAATAGCTACCCAAAAACAACAGCACACATCAAGTACTTGAATTCCTATAGCACTGCGGTGGAACTTGATGTGGGCTGAATCTCAAATTGCTCCCTGTTCCCTATCAAGAGCACTGCATAGGTCATGAAACTGTGTCTTCTACACTTAAACATTGCTCTAAATGTCATTTATGGTGACGTGCAGGTAGCGGGTAAATATAAATGGCTTTTTTATTCCACATATAAAGCAATATTTGGTTGTAAAAGCTGTTATTTCTTGACCAGCATAGTGCACTGCATAGGGAATGGGGAGCCATTTGAGATACAGCCCTTGTGCATCCAGCATCTATCAGCATAGGAACTGTTCTTATCTTTTTAGGATCCTTTTGTTCTAAAATAAAATGGTAAAGTGGAAGGTGTGAACAACAGCACAGCCGCTTGCTAGCTGAACCAACAGAGCAGAAAGAAATCAAACCCAAAATAGAAGTAAGGGAGAATTCCAGCAAATTTCTAAAATTCTGTCATTGAGATGTAATCAAACCTATTCAGAGTGGTTTAATGTGAAATGGTTCAGTGAACAAAAACTTAATGACTCAGATTTCTTTACAGTGGTGGTGATAGGAACCCAGGGTTGCAATTTCTACAACACAAATGTAGCCATTTTATTTACTGTCCATCATGACCAGTAAACCTACATGTGTCCTCTCAGTTTTTATATGTTAATAATGGTGAAGTAGTGGTAAACGTGAAAAAATAAGTTTTTATTGGGTTCTATTTTGCTTTACAACACCTTGTGTGTACGTCCCTGCCATGAATGAGTTTTAAAAAACTGTTTAAAAACAATCATTCGGGCAACAGGCAGTATATTCGTAACTATTTTGTGAAAAAAGCTTTCTGTGATGTAGATTTTGACAGGCATTAAACTCATCAGACATCTGGTTCCTATCTCTTCCACTGTGAACAATTCTGACTCAGTAAGTTTCTCTAGAACAGAGCATTTCCTATGAAATGACGCTGAATGCATTTCTTCATGTTTTGGTGATTTAATTATGCAGAAATTTGAAAAATATTAGTGGACTTCTCCTTTAAATGTGAAGAACTGAAATTGAACTCAGTAAAAAATTTGATTCCTTTCCTCACAACCTTTATATAATGATATACTTGATACTGGTTTTCTTACATATACCAGACGTACATGTAACAGGTTTCTACCCACCTCTGCCTTAAAAGCCTATATTGGCACAGTTTTTTCACTGTTCTGTGCGAAAGTTAGAGATCACCCTTCATTTTTTAATTTCCCATCAAAACCATTACATACAAGTTATTCATTTTTCAGGATATATTTTTGAGGAGGTTAGGTTTAAAATAATCCATTTGCATAAAGAAGGAGAAAATAAGTGAAAAAACAAACTGAGAATTCAAAAAAATTGGTAACACTTTATTTGGATGGTCCACTGTAGATGCTTTGTAAAAGCTCAGTATATTTAAGTAACATTCAACTAAATATCTAGTAAATGCAACTGAACTTTAAGTTTAGTGTGAAAGAGTTTATCAAATCTATCCCTACCCTAATCCTAACCTTAACCTCAAGGCAAAACCTACGTCTACTCCTAACTCTAACTCTAACCATGATATTGTTGATAATTAACTGAACATCACCAGAGGCTTCTACAGGGGACCATCCAAATAAAGTGTGACCAAAAAAAATGATACAGAGAAAACGGCACTCTGAACAACTCAGCGCTGTGGGTCTGAAAGGATGTGTAGCTGTCAAGAAGTCCTCACTAACAATAAACACTGCTGTGTCTGATCCACTCGTACCAGCACAACACACACTAACACACCACCACCACATCAGTGTTACTGCAGTGCTGAGAATGATCCACCACCCAAATAGTACCTGCTCTGTAAGGGTCCATAGGGGGTCCTGACCACTGAAGAACAGGGTAAAAGGGGGCTAACAAAGTATTTAGAACTACAGAGTGCACCTATATAGTAAGTGGAGCTGATAAAATGGACAATGAGCGTAGAAACAAGGAGGTGGTCATAATGTTGTGCCTGATCGGTGTATAATGCCAATGTTTTTCCTTCTGATCAGTGTTTGTGGAGGAGGAGGAGGCCAGTAAGTTCCTAGGGCGCCACCTGATGTTCAACAGATTTGACTTCGAAATGTTCACTCCGGGGAATTTGGAGAGGGAGTGCATTGAAGAAGTGTGTAACTACGAGGAAGCGCGGGAGGTGTTTGAGAATATTCCAGATACAGTTGAGTAATTTGCTTATTTCTCAACAGCCTGCTAGCGCGAGTGATCTACAACTGTTCCTTACCCTCATTAAGCATGAACCTTCCTATTTACCTGCTGAATGTTTTATAATCTGAGATTATAAAAGCTGTTATCTCTTTTCCATGGTGTTCAGCTATGAGTCATGTTTGTATTAGTTTAATATAAATGATTAATGGGTTGCTGTAAAAATGAGCTGTTTGCCTGCTTTAGGTTTGATACCTTTTGTTTGTTCTCTACAGGATGCTTTCTGGAAAAAGTATACGGAGGGTAGGTTGGAGTAATTTGTTCTTAATAGTTTTATGCAGTGGTGGACAGTAACAAAGTAAATGTAATTTGTTACTGTACTTCAGTAGTTTTTTCGTGTATCTGTTCTTTACTGAAGTATTTTCATTTTGAGCAACATCTTACTTTTCACTCCACTACGTTTCAAAGTCAAATATCTTACTTTTCACTCCACTACATTTCAAAGTCAAATATCTTACTTTTTACTCCACTACATTTTGCGAAATCTGTCGTCACTTTTGGCTTATGTGTGCATAAAAACGTAACATATCAAAACGAAAGAAGGAAAACACATTTGTGAACCTGTGTTTAAAGCAAATTTTTATTAAACTTGTAACTAAGTTGCAAATAAAACTGAAACTTTGCTTGTTTGCAAAATTTTATTTCAGAGCCACTCAGTTCTACCTAATGGAAACTGTTTGCCTTCAGTGTTTTGTGCTTATGATAATTTTAATAGACATCAGTGACAGAATAATTAATGACATTCTATTAAAAGTTGGGTTTACCAAGAGTGGCACTGGAGTATTTTCACCTAAAATGAGTCGATTAAGCAAGAGTCTTACTACAAAAATGATAATAGGATGTCAGAGCCATAATTAATCTTTTAGTACTTTTATTTTTGATACTTAAGTACAATTGAAGGCAAATACTTTTGTACTTTTACTCAAGTGGAGGTCCAAAGGGAGGAACTTCTGCTTTTACTGGAGTAATATTTTACCCTGGGTATCTCTACTTTAACTGAAGTAATTCAAGTTTGTGTACTTCGTCCACCACTTGTTTTATGACTCATTCATGTCCTGTTATTCACCTCACTCGTATTTGTATCACTCGTATCGTTCGTAGACGATCGAGTGTCTCAATGCGGACATGCAGAAGGGCTCAGAGAGACTGCAGTTTTGTCAGGAGAAGCTGACTCAATGTTTATCTGTTATCACAAACCGGCTACTCTGCTTTTTATGAGTAAACATGACATCAGGCCCTGTGGTCACAAGCGCCACTTCTGAGAGACGTATCGCTGAAGTCTGTGGTTAAGATGCGTCTGTTGACATTTACGTTGGGTATAAAGTCTTCAGGTTCATCAGATTGTGTTCATGTGTGAAGATCTAGTTCCCCTACCTATAGCCTAAACCTCTCACATTAAAGAGTCAGCCTTGTTCACATTATGACAAGAACTGTTCAAGAACCCACATAATGGAAACCCGAATTTCCCTCCCTCATTTTTCAAATAAGTTTGAGAAATAATATGTAAACATTGTTCAAGTTTTAAAACATATTCTTCACTCCTCAGTCCATACAGTCCATATATGGAAACATCCTGTTTTGAGTTTATTTGTGACGTTTTAAGAACCAACTCATTTGTGCAGATCCACCTATTCAGCCTACAGCAGTTTAGCTCCACCCGTTTACACTGAAGTTCTAAGAAATGTTTCAGCACTGTGTGCTTTTTGAACCAGACGCAGTGCAGGGCAGCCAATCAGAAATAAGGTCATTTGCATAGATCATTCTGATAAAGGCACAGGAACAGCCTGTTTAATTGTGAGGGATAAAGGAAGGTTGGAGAACGACCAAGTTAATATAAATCATAACTATTTTTGGTACATAAAACCACACATGTTTTAAAAGGACCTGGAAAAAATAAAATGCAAGAAAAATGGGTGACACTTTATTTTGAGTGGTCCTTTTTGGATGAAACAAACACTCAATGGACTCTCAGTAACATGTCAAAAGCATATGAGGGTTAGGATTAGGATTAGGTTTTGGGTTGAGGTTAGGGTTAGGATTAGGGTCAGGATTATAGGGTTAGGTTTTGGGTTGAGGTTAGGATTAGGTTTTGGGTTGAGGTTAGGGTTAGGATTAGGGTCAGGATTATAGGGTTAGGTTTTGGGTTGAGGTTAAGGTTAGGGTTAGGATTAGGGTTAGGTTTTGGGTTGAGGTTAATGTTAGGGTTAGGATTAGGGTCAGGATTATAGGGTTAGGTTTTGGGTTGAGGTTAAGGTTAGGGTTAGGATTAGGTTTTGGGTTGAGGTTAAGGTTAGGATTAGGATTAGGGTCAGGATTATAGGGTTAGGTTTTGGGTTGAGGTTAATGTTAGGGTTAGGATTAGGGTCAGGATTATAGGGTTAGGTTTTGGGTTGAGGTTAAGGTTAGGGTTAGGATTAGGGTTAGGTTTTGGGTTGAGGTTAAGGTTAGGGTTAGGATTAGGTTTTGGGTTGAGGTTAAGGTTAGGGTTAGGATTAGGGTCAGGATTATAGGGTTAGGTTTTGGGTTGAGGTTAAGGTTAGGGTTAGGATTAGGGTTAGGTTTTGGGTTGAGGTTAGGGTTAGGATTAGGTTTTGGGTTGAGGTTAAGGTTAGGGTTAGGATTAGGGTTAGGTTTTGGGTTGAGGTTAAGGTTAGAGTTAGGATTAGGTTTTGGGTTGAGGTTAGGGTTAGGATTAGGGTCAGGATTATAGGGTTAGGTTTTGGGTTGAGGTTAAGATTAGGGTTAGAATTAGGTTTTGGGTTGAGGTTAATGTTAGGGTTAGGATTAGGGCCAGGGTTAGGATTAGGTTTTGTGTTGAGGTTAAGGTTAGGGTTAGGATTAGGGTCAGGGTTAGGATTAGGTTTTGGGTTGAAAAAACTTTTCGTTTTTAGCTGTCAAGCTCCATTTACTCCCATTCATTGAGAACTCACCCGCGGGCGCCCTCTGCTGTTTAGCAGTCCTGTTTTTGATATAATGGGGGAATAGAGGCCAGGCTCCTCATAAACCGGCTCTGACATTGATTATTTGGAGATGAATGGATTTACTTGCATTTATAATCACTCCAGCTGGTTTCCTGATACGTTTAATCTGCAACGAGAAACTGTCAAACACTACAGAGTCACAAAGCTGAAATCAGCTTCTCGTTCGCCAGCTTTTTGTTCGAATTGTCCCATTTCATCTTAAATGGTGCAGCAATTACATTCAGCAGTTATATTTTGTGTCCTTTTTTCTTGATATGTTAAACTAATAAATAGAAATTGTGCACTAAAATTAGCAGAAATGTCATTTAAGTTCTCTGTAGAGGATGTGTTAACTTATTTTTACTTAAATCTACAGACGTGGCATTTGAACCTGTTGTTGAAACTTCTACATGCGACTGCATTTGTAATTTTGGATATGAGCTTATGAAAAATGTGTTTGTGCCAAATATCCCAATATGTTCAGGATGTCATACACTGAAAAAAGTGCTGCCTTGAATTGAATACTTCATTCAAATGTGTACATCATTTCCATATGAATTGTGAATGTATTTCATCAACACATTTTATCTTTGAATTTACTTTCTTTTGGCAGTAGCAGTGTGGATGTAATATATTTTATTCATGTGGAAATTATGTGCTCATTTAAATCAAATGCTTTCCTTTTTTATTACCCCTTCAGTTTTATCTGAACTTGTTTGCCACTTGCTGTGGCCCTTGAGCCCATATTTGAAATGCATGAGATTACTGGGACTACATTAGTATTGCCAAATAGTTGCCAAAACTATATCTCTAATAGTTTGGTTTTACTGTTTGAACAATATTTAGCATCAATATTGCAACCCCATTTCCAAAAACATTGGGACAGTGTGCAAAATGTGAATAAAAAGAAATTCAATGATGTGCAAATTATTTAAACCCTATATTTAATTGAAAATAATACAGAGACTACAAATCAAATATTGAAACTGAGAAACTTTATTGTTTTTTGAAAAATATATGCCCATTTTGAAATTGATGCCAACAACACATTCCAAAAAAGTTGGGACGGGGGCCTGTTTACCACTGTTGTTTCATCACCTCTTCTTTTAACAACAGTCTGTAAGCATTTGGGAACTGAGGAGACACTGCTGTAGTTTTGAAAGTAAAATGTTTTCCCATTCTTGTTTGATACAAGATTTCAGCTGATCATCAGTTTGAGGTCTCCTTTGTCGTATTTTTAATTTTATAATGTGCCAAATATTTTTAGTGGTGATGGGTCTGGACTGCTGTAGGTCAGTTTAGCACCCAGACTCTTTTAATACAGGGCAATGCTTTTCCACTTTGCTATAGTCCATTTTAAATGAGCTTGGGCCCAGAGAAGGTGGCAGCATTTCTGGAACCTATTTATATTTGGTTTCACCTTTTGCGTTTGAGTTTTGATTAGCATTTGTGGTTGCAGTGATGAACTGTGTTTACAGACAGTGTTATCAGAAGTGTTTCTGAGCTCATGCAGTGATTTCCATTACAGAATCATGCCTGTTTTTAATGCAGTGCCGCCTGAGGACCCAAAGATCACGGCCAGGAATTACTGGTTTTTGGCCTTGTCCCTTACGTACAGAGGTTTCTCCAGATTCTCTGAATCTTTTAATGATATTTTGTACCGTCGATGATGAAAAGCAGAAGTTCTTTGCTATTTTATGTTGAGAAATGTTATTCTTGTTGCACTATTTGCTCACGCAGTCTTTCACAGAGTGGTGAACCCCTCCTCATCTTTACTTCTGAAAGACTCCGCCTCTCTGGGATGCTTTTTTATACCCAATCATGTTACTGACATGTTGCCAATTAACCACCAGGTGTTTTTTTAGCATTACTCAACTTTACCAGCCTTTTGTTGCCCCCATCCAAACTTTTTTTGGAATGTGTTGTTGACATCAAACTCAAAATGGGCATAAATTTTTCAAAAAACAAAAAAATTTCTCAGTTTCAACATTTGAAAATTTGAAGCATTTTCAATGAAATATAGGATTTAAATGATTAATTTAAATGATTTAATGAATCATTTAATGAATTTAATGATTCATCATTGCATTGTGTTTTTATATAAATTTTTCTCAGCTTCCCAACTTTTTTGGAAATGGGGTTGTATAATGCATTAATTGGCTCCAGACTAGCAGGTCTACTTGTGTCTCTAGACCATTTTTACTGGTCGTTGGTTAAAAATGAGTGATTTGCATAGGGACACAAGTGTTTCATTTGTGCCTCTTCACTTTCTGTTTCATTTTTCACATATGTTTTACGAAAGGTCCTCTACACGCATAACTGAGTGTTCGTTTGCTTTCAGTTAACTTCCATAACACACAGACCTGTTGAAGCCACTGAGTTTATCCTGATCTCATTTGCATGACTGTGGTTTGCATTGCTGTGTAACGTGGCTGAATGAAACCAGCATGCCAAGTAATGTAGTGCTTAAACAGTATTGCAAACTAGTATTTCTTTATTCACTTTATATGCTTTGTAGATACTTAATTTACTTTCAAGTTACATTCAACTAAATATCTATGAAATTGACCATAATTTTCTTTAACTCTAAACCTGCTCTAAGCTCTTCATTAACAGCTACCAGCGCTGCTCTGTAGGCGACCCTGCCAGTCAGCAGTGACAGCAGAGGAGGGTAAAGTTCAGCTCCTCACTGCTGGGCTTTAGTTACATTTAGGGCATCATATGCCTGCAAAGAGGGGGATGCGACATTTTTTTATTATTGCCCACCTCTAATTCTTTGGTGATATGAAGCTGAAGCCAGCTTCTAGTTCGAATTTTCCTGTTCCACCTTAAATGGAGTAGCAGTTACATTCTGGTGCTTCAGGCGTCAGAACTGCTGGACTATTTAAGGTGGAACGGGAAAGTTAGCTAGCTAGCTACCAAGACATTAGCATACTATTAGCGTTTTTATTATGCTTGTTATGAAGAAAACGATCATAAAACATTGAAACGACATTAAACTAAGATAATACAGTGTTTATCGTAACTTTTAACAGAGAAGATTCTCACATTTGTGTGTTTCTTTGGTCTCTTGTTCAGCCGTCTTGCTGGTCTTTCTTTTTTTTCCTCATAACTCTCTGTTTGGAGTCTCTGAAAAACCTCTGTTTGGAGGGCCATGTAGCCCCACCACTTCACCCTACCCCTCTATCTCAACAACAATCAGGACACCCTACCACTAGGTGTGAACGCGCTAATCAGAGAGATGAGGGCTAAGTGGTAGGGGCGAGGGTTTAAATGAGATTGGGCCTAATCCTAACCCTCACCCTGTTCCTAGCCCTAACCCTGGTCCAAATCCTAACCCTAACCCCACCACTGCTTAGAATCAGTTTCTACAGATTGTTAACAATTTGAACATCTGTAGATAATCTATAGGGGACTATAGTGAACTATCTAAATAAAGTGAGACCCTTTATTCATTTTTCATATAAATTCAGATGTATGCAAAAGTTTGAGCATCCTTGACCAATTTGTTGATTTTCTAATTGAAATTAATTTAATATATTCTCTACAGAAAACACACTTCTGCACATTGTAATACCCAATTACTGTTTACTTGATGAACCCAAAATGCAAAAGTCATGGCACACTTTGTATTTTATATCCTTTTAAACACACATGTAAATCGGTAAATGAATAGAAATTGTGCATTAAAATGTGCAGAAAAAATACCACAATTAAGTGTGTTCTGTGTAGAGCAGGGGTGTCAAACTCAACCAGTAAAAGGGCCATATTAAAAAATCTCATCAATGTCATTGTTAATTAATGTTGTGCTGTAACCCCAACTTGCTGTTGTTTACTCAAAAACAATGACAGTAAAATACAGATACTTTTAGTAAGCCCTGAAATATTACATGGACACTTGAAATACTTTCTTTGCTGCACATTCATTAAGACTTGGGCTCAATTGCTGAGCTAATGTTAAGTGTTTATATTGGTTGAACTTGAGCTGATTGTTTGTGACTGGGGTGGAATTGCGTAAACCTGAGGTGTAACCACTGTCCCATAGACTGCTATTGGGGTTAGGAGAGTCAAAGTGCACATAATGTGGCGGTGCATGCTGGGGACTGTAGTGCAGCGCATTGTGAAATAGGGCTAATACGAAAATTCAAACACTTTTGCAGGCTGGATGGGATTGTGTGGCAGGCCTGATCTGGGCCGCGGGCCTTGTGTTTGCTGTGGAGGATGCGTTCACTTATTTTCACTCAGAAAATCAAGAAAATGTGTAATTTGACTGGGAACGTTCACACCTTTGCATACAACTTTACCTGCCAATGCTGATGCATTATCATTTATAAAATGTGAAAGGTGGGACTAGAACCAACTGAATTAGCAATACATAAAAATGTAGCACTTATTTCTGTAGGATTCAGTACGCATGAATGCAGATATTTTAGCACAGTAGCTCAGTGCGCCTAAACATTCTGCTTTTCAGGGGTACTGTAAATAAGTCAACAAATATTGGAACAAAATATCAGCCAAATCTAAACATCTATGTGATGCCGATATATTGTTTAAGGTAATACATGATGATGCTGATATGATTCCGATATCTCTTTGCATCACTAATTTCAATGAGTGCATATGCATGCACTCGATAATCCAATCACAATCGGATTTTTGCAGTTATCTGATTATTCAAATGGTCATGTAAACATCATACTCCCAATCTAGAAATCCAGTTAAGAAATCCGATAAAGAGACTGGTTTTTAGCCCAGTAATCAGATTTCTCAGTGCATGTAAACTCTTACTCCGATTTCGATCGGATTTCTCAGTCTGCGCATGTGCGGGATCAGACGGTGGACATTGCAAGATGGCAGCAAAACACTTTTGAAGCCAAACACGAAATAAAGGATTTAAATATTCTTCATCTTCTGGATGTTGAATGTTCATATTTTCAGGTAAAGTGGAGCGATGCTTTTAAAAAAGCCACAGAATGAAGTTTGAGATTTATATTATGTTTGCGTCTCGTCTTCTTCTGTGAGTTTATTGGCCGGTTGCAAAGCAGAAATCTGATTACTGCCCAAGTCATGCAGACCTGGAGTTCCCCCATTATCTGATTACTCCAGAGCATGTAAATGTGTTGATTGGATTACTGACAAAATCTGATTTTCTGCAGTTATCGGATTATTAAGTCCATGTAAACGCGCTCAATCTGTATGTGCTGTGTATACTGTCGTATTACTATTAAATCTGTATGTAGTTGTGTATACTGTCATATTACAGTTATTTTCACATATGCTTACAGATCATAGTCAGCGGCCGTCTAGACTGGATATAACAGCCCTGTTGGTGGGCCTCATCGCAGGTGGAGTAGCTATTGTCATAATGGGCCTGCTCATCTGGTACTCCTGCCAGAAAAGGTGTGGAAAAAGTGACCGGTTTGCAGGGTAAGGACTCTTCAGCTGCATAAGCATGTTTTATAATCATTAGTTAATTTATTAGGAGCGTGCAGCAGGAGCATGCTCAGTTTAATGAAGGGTATGTGTTTGTCATAATGACATCCATGTTTGTATGTGAATATCATCAGATCCCATCTGGTTTACTTTGACTGATGGGTGAATACTAGCAATGTAAATCAAATCACAGCAATTCAGTTTGGTTACAAGATTACGATATTTTAGGAAAACAGTCCAATGCATTATTAAGTAGAATTTCACCACAGTTCGATTTGATCACATTGTTTTGGTTTGATCAGAATTATTTTTTAAAATCTTTAAATATTTTTATGATTTTGTTGATTTTCTAAGTGAAGTTACACCACTTTTGCATTAAAAAAACTTACATATTTCTGCAAATTTTAATGGACGGTTATTATTTATTAGCTGAATGTAACATTTAGGAGAAAAATAAAACATGCATGCATACGTTTGGTCGCCCTTTCATTCAGTGCTTAGTAAGCACTCTTTGGCTTTGTAGCAAACTAATAATCTTTCTCTTCTCGATGATTTTATTGTAGAACACTTTTAGCTCAGAAATATTCATAGGTTGTCTTGCATGCACATCATGTTTGAGATCTTCTCACATATTTACAGCAGTATTCAAGTCTGGGGACGGTGATGGCCTGAAACCTTAAACCTTTTTTATTTGACTTTCTCAACTAAGTTTGATTTTGATGTATGTTTTGAATCATTGTCTTGTTGTAATATCCTTTCATCTTCACTTTCTTCACTGACTGTGGCACATTAGCTTCTGGGATTTGCTGATATTTAAGAGGATCCTTTCTTCCCTCTATCCCCATAACATTTCCTGTGCCGCTGGCTGCTACACAAACCCAAGCATAATAGATCTACCCCCATGCTTAACAGTTGTCTTTTTTTTCTCCAAACTTTGGTGATTGTAGCCAAAGAGTTACATTTTTGTGTCATCAGACCACAGAACTTGTTTGCAGAATGCCTGTGGCTTATCTAGATGTTGTTTTGCGTACTTCAGACACAGACTTTTGTGATAAGATTACAGAGTTACCCTCGGATGACCCTTCCATTTAGATGACGTGGGCCAGTGCATTACTATTCCTGTGCCAGCTTTCTGCAGGCCCTTGTTAGTGATGTGGGTGTTTTGCTTTGCATAGATCTTCCAGATTTTGTCTTGACTTCAACAGTCAAGCTCCTTAATTTCCATTGGTTAATGGAATTTCAGATTATAAAAGCTACAAGCAGGACATGTTTAGATATCTTTTGTAGTCTTCTCTTGCTTTCTTAGAGTCGATTATCTTTAGTTCCAGATCCTCAGTCAGCTGCTTGTTGAGCCCATGGCTGTTGAGTTTGAGCACAACACCTAGACAAGTTTTGAAGGGTCACAGAATTTATCATGCCATGGCATTGTCTACACCTGATATGGATTAAGCCCTAATGAGTCAAATAAGCTCTAAGAATTTACCAGAAAAACTAGTGTATCAAGTGAACAGGTGTCTACACTTTCGCACACGCCGCATTTTCTGTTTTTTGTTTTCCAATATGTTAAATTCAGGAAATAATTGTTAATTTTGCGTAAAGATTTGCAGGAATATTTCGTAGTTAAGTTTGTTGCATGTAGCTGTTGTGTCAACTACTTTTTTACATTTCTGTTTATTCTAAAATCAATCAAATGTGTAATTTGACCAGAGATGAACAAACGTTTCCATAAATCTGTGCATAAAATTAACTGGATTTACTATTTACACAGTTGGAGACTATAGACAATACAAAATATACTGTTTTTTTACATTTGAAAACAGGCTGACATTTTTATTGTGGTCATAAAATGGACACAGTTGCCACCTTCAGACTGGCGCATCATGATACACAATATGACACCATTCCTATTCGCTGAGTTCAGGTGTTTCCGCCACACCCTTTGCTAACAGGTGTATAAAATCGAACATATAGCCATGTAATCTCTATAGACAAACACTGGCAGTAGAATGGGTTGTACTGAAGAGTTAAGTGACTTTAAATGTGGCACTATCATTGCATAAATGATACCTTTTGCATAAATTAGTTTGTGAATTTCCTGCCCTTCTATTATTGTAATATGGAAGTGTTTAGGAGCAACAACATTTCATCCACGAAGCAGTAGACCACGCAAACTCACTTCGAGGCAACAGTTTGGGGAAGACCCTTTCCTGTTCCAGCATGACTTGTGTGGTGTGGAGGAACTCCAGTGGCTTACATAGAGCCTTGACTTTAACCCCACTGAACACCTTTGATTTGGAATGTCAATTGTGTGCCGGGCCTTCTCGTCCAGCATCAGTGCCTGACCTCACAAATGCTCCCTTGACTTAATGGGCACATTCCCCCAAGCACACTACAGAATCTTCTGGAAAGTTTTCCCAGAAGAGTGAAGGCTGTTCTGACCACAAAATGGTGGGGCAACTCTATATTAATGCCCATGGTTTTGGAATGGGATGCCCTACAGGCTCATATAGGCATGATGGTCACGTGTCCACATATATTTGGCCATTTTATTTGCTTCACTGAGCAGCAAATAAGTGTGTTTTGTTATTGTTGCTTGGTTTGAAATAATGTGACACTATATTGTTGCTGGTTTGTGTTTGTTCAGGCCCATCAGGACGCGGTCTAGGCGCAGTAACGCCTCTGTGATTATCCGGAGACTGGAGGAAGTTTCATTGCAGCCCATTGCTCTCCCACCTTCATCAGACGGCCTGGATGACCACGGACTACCCTCTTATGAACAGGCCATTGCTAGAGATGGACCTCACGATGCTCCACCACCCCCATATCCTGGGTACTGACACAACACACATACGCACGCTAGTTTTGAGGCTTTTTTTTTTTAACCTTTGAATCACACACCTACAACCATCATCCTGAATGAACTGCCAGTCAGTTCACACACAGCCTAACATAACAAATACGCAAATACTTAAACTCTAATAAGAGAGAGTTCTCCTACAATAGGAGCATCTGGCCTTTGTTACATAGCCAGCACCTTAAACTGGAAAGTCTTATAGCTGTTACTTATATTTAAAAAAAATGGATTGGACAAAATGGAAAAATTCCATGGCATTCAGTACCAAATTTCAGTACCTAAGTAGTGTCTTATTAGCATCAAAGTCTGCTTCGGAAATCTAGACTGCTAAATTACATTCAGTTTGCATCAAAGTCAGTGTTTCTTGATTGGTCTGTAATTTGTTATAGTTTTTAATACACCCACTTTCAGTCCCTCACACTCATTTCTGGTTCAAGCCACAGCAACTTTCAGTTTGTAATTTAAAAAAAAGGAATTGAAAAATGTATTGTTTGGATATCAGAATCAAAGTCAAAGTAGCGCTACCGGCATCAGTATGAGAAAACTTACACAATAAACAATACCCAGCATACCTTAAACAATTTACTTAAACAATACCCAGCCCTATTGGTAAAATTCAAAAGCACAGTGTTTTATTAATGTACCACAGTGTTACTGTATTAGATAATATTTAATTTGGAATTTAATTGGACTGCATGTTTTGTTCTGGGTGTGTTTTTTTTTTTCCCATTACAACAAAGAGAACCTTACACTGTATTGGAAATGTTAACCAGACATAAACCAAATTTTCAGAACGAAAACTTACTGTTTATTTATTACTTAATTTTATGTGTTTTAATTTAATTTATACTGAGGCAGGTTAGCCCACTGAGGCCAAAGTCTCATTTACAGTGGGGTCCCTGTAAGACATACAGTAAAATACAATACAGTAATATAGCACATGAAAATAAAATGAATAGAACAACCATTTTAAAGTAAAAAAATATAAAATATTTAGATTAAATAAAATAATTATAACAAAAAAACAAGGTAAATGGCATATAATTAAGAAAAGCACATACAGCTCTCATCCATCAGGTCATTAAAGTATTTTAAAATATATTAAATGGTAGATGATGTATTTTAGCACTCAGTTGAAAGTTCTTCCACATTACCAGGAGACTGCATGAAAATGCTTTCTTATCAAGTTCTATAGATGAGAATGATACATTCAATCATTACGTCTAATGCATTTGTCTTGTCATTTGTTCTGACTGTAAGGAAAGATGAAATGTAGGGTGCAAGCTGTTAGAGCTTTGTAAAAAAAAAAAAAAGCTTCTGTATTCGCTCATCAATGTGTGCTCTAAAAGTTAGTGTCATTGATCCAAATTCACAGATGTTTGTAGCCAATGTAGTCAATAACTGTACCATTCAATGTATTTACAGTTACATAATTAAAACTATCAATCGCATGAGCTCAGGAAAGCAACATACTTTATGTCCCTTTATTCAACACTAGTTTTAGACTTCTATAACAAAGATTCTGTAACAAGTTAAAATCTTTCTGTAAATATATCCATTGCTAGTGTTACAAAGGAAGCACAAGAATACATGACAGTATCATCTGCATGAAAATGAATTATACAACTTTCAGTGTGTTCATTAATATATTCTTAATTAATATACAATGTAAAAAGTACTGACCCAAGGATAGAGCCCTGTGGAACACCATTAACAGTTTCTAGAAAACGTAATTGTTATCCCTGAGCAGCAACATATTGAGTTCTATTAATAAAGATAATTATGGAACCAATTGAGCACCTGCTGGTCAAAGCACACGAAATAGAATTTAAAAAACTAAAAACAAACTACTTTATTTCAGGGGCACCGCTATTTTATAGGCATATATCATCAATATAATGCTCCTTATCTATCAAATGTATTGCCAAAAATGTAGTTTAAACTCAATATTGTGTTATGTTTATTTCCTGGTATACTGGTATAGATGATTGATGGCCCAGCACTAATTTAAACTGTGGAGAAATCTCTTAAATTTCATAACTCTTAAACTCCTGTGTAGCTTATAAAATATGATGCTTAACTGTCTGAGTTGTTTTAGACACTTTACTGTAATTGTTTGTTTATTAAAAACGACTCCTTATGCTGTTCACAGGTCCAGACCAGGCACCATTCGACGATAACCTCAACATTAACTGGGCACAGTTGGATTGGGTCCATTCTTTTTCTCTTTTACCCATAAACTGCAATGCACTGTTAATTTTAAACAATGACCTTTCCGCTCATTTCAGAGTCATTTCTAAAGCAGGTGGTCATTCCTTGTTTTACACTAATTACACTAAAACACAGTTTGCCAATATAATGATGTTGGAGGGTTACTTTTTGTAGTGACCTATAAGCAGCCAGTTTGCCAGGTCATTTTTGACAGACACTGTAATAATAATTTAATATGCTGAATAACTTTTTGTATACAGAATTCAGACTTTGCTTCATATTTATGCTAAAAAGTTTGATGAAGGAAAATGGGTTATGAAGGCATTACACAGTTAGACCTCACTCACCTTCTGCTAACTCTGACTCACTGAACAAACCAGATTTACCTCTTTTTACCTCTGAGCAAAATAGTAAGGATAGGTTCGTTAGCTCATCAGCTACTGCATTACTAATTATTGCTTTGTGTATGATTTAATTAATGCTGTAATATTTTTATTAATTTCATTTCTCCAGTTTGCCAATGCACACCAAGTAAATCAGAACTACTGTTGTTGTAGCACTTTTTTAATGTTGTAATTCACACGCACTGTAATCACTACTGACTCCATCTATATGTTTTGGTTTTATAAGGCTCTTCTTTTTGGACTATTTGTATGCTTCGGTGATCTTTTAATGTTTTGATAATTATGTCAGCGTGTCACTGTGGTAGAGCTTTATTTTAAGCTAGTTAAATAATTAAGAAATAAATGACACTTTATTTTGTCTCATATTATCTGTGAACAATAGGCTGATGCCTCTGAATATTTTAACTGTGTATATTATAAAGATCTGATGACATAAGATTTAGTGTTCTCATGGGTCTAGTTCATAATGAAGATTGTCATTTTCCCACTTTTTTTTATTTAATGTCTGACACGACTTACGTAATATATGCTCTGTGTTGTATAGAAACTCAACTCTGTTGGAAGTGCAGCTGCACATAGAGCATGGGGACTTGCTCCAAGTACAGCTGTGAACATCTGACTCAGTTGATTTGTTTAGATTGCTGGGGTGGAGCTTGGTGTAAGTTAAGTAATTAGGAAAAAATTAACCATAATACTTTATTTGTTTTGTATTTTTGATGAGCAATTTTATCAGAGCCCCTAAAAAAAAAATTAACTTAATGGATGATCAAATTCCTGACCCTAAAGGTTAACTTATTAAACTTGCTGCATGGTCAAATAGGGCTGACGATATCAGATTTAAAGGGCTCATATCATGGAAAAACAAGTTTTACTCATTTTCTTTTTTTTTAAATAAAAGTTTAATGTAATATTTAAACACTTCTAAATGTACTGTTCTTTGCCCAGTCCATACATGGAGACTAAGCTGCAAAAACAGCCCATTTTAAATTAATTGTTTTTGCGATGTCACAAAATCAACACGTACATATATCCATATATATTCAGCCTACAGCAGTTTAGCCCTGCCCACTCACAATGAAGTTATAAGGAGTGTTTCAGTCGGGACTGTCTTATCAATTAGGGCACAATCCAGGACAGCCAATTAGAACAGGCCTTGTTTGCATATACCAGTCTTAAAGGCACAGAAACAAAAACAGCCTGAGATACAGGGAGGATGGAGAAGGGTGATTTCAAAATGAATTATGACTTCTTGTACATAAAACCACACTAATATCATAAATGGACCCCAGAGGATAAAAATAAAATGCTAAAATGTACAATATGATCCTTTTAATGGCTGAACTTTTTGGATGATCAGATGGGGCTTGCAGGTTTAGCTAATAATAACAGTTATCTAGTTTTCATAAGTCCGATATGACCGTATTGTTTATGTAATTGTATAGCTCTATAATATTTTAATTGATCTATAATAGTATTTTTATGACTAAAAACTCTGCCAATTGGTAACAACTTCCAAACTCAACTCAAATGAACCAAAATGAGGACTTGCCTGATTTTGGGTTGTTTATATCACTGTGGTAGAACTGATTATACATTACACATTAATTCATTAAGAAATAACAATAAATTTAATGACCCAGAAAATTCCTAAGTTGAAATTTATATATGATCAGATACCCCTGAAGACATTGGATCTTAATGATTAGGGATATTCAGCATGATCATATTAGGCTTTGCTAATATCAGATTTAGTGGTCAGGCTTCATGGATGGGCCTGAAAATACCAGATTCAGTAATGTTGTCCCAGTTGTACCTGTTAAAGAGTTTGATGTAGTAGGTAAGCTTTGCTAAAACCTCAGAAAGCATCCTTTACTCCACAGTCCAAACAGTGTCTGTATATGGAAACTAAGTTGCAGAAACAGACTATTTTGAATTCATTGTTTCTGTGATGTCACAAAAACCAACACATTTACATATAACCACCTATTCAGTCTACAGCAGTTCGGCCCTGCCCATAACGTAAGTGAACCTATAAGGAGTTTCAATGTGGTGCAGTACAGGGTGGCCAGTCAGAACAGATACATCTATCAGCCTTAAAGGCACAGTAACAAGAAACACCTTAATATCTAAAGGATACAGAGAGGTTGTAAAATGATTATGGAAAGATAAATTAACATAAACCCATAAGAGACCTCAGCTGGGGAATATATACAGTGTTGGGCAAAATAACAAGTAGTGCTGGCTGAATACTGAATACACTGTCCTGAATGTATTCAGTAATATATTCCATTACAATACACAAAAAGTAACATATTGAGAATACATTTGGAATACATCTTAATAAATGAGCTGAGAAAAACTCTGCTGTTGTCATTTTTATTTAATTCACACTGTTCCTCTATGTTACTAGTTGGCAGTTTTCTTTGTGTAATTCTTCTGTCAATATGTTTCATGAAAAATTCACTTATTTAAATGATACATTATTTTGGCTCTGAAGCAAACAATCCACCATATCCCAATACAATAACACAAACCCAATAACAGAATTTTGTTAATGAGGTAACTTGCCACAAAACGCCTGCACCAGTCCAGTACAACGCTGATACTAAGCTTGGTGTACATGTCCACTACTAAGGAGACAGTTCAGTTCCATCGTCCCTCAAAAGAGTTTAGTAATGCTGAGATGATTAACTGGCTCATCAGTTTGGTTTATCAGTCTACTCAGGCTTTAGCAGGAACTTGTGTGCTGATTTTTAAAATAGTTAATAAACTACTTGATGGCAAATATTTGTTTAATTAATTTAGCATGTATTCTAAAAGTATTCTTCTAAAAACTTAAAAAGTGACTATTATGAATACTGTCTATATATATATATATATATATATATATATATATATATATATATATATATATATATGCTAATAATATATACACATATATTTGATGTCTAATATGACCATCATTATGTGTAACTACAGGAGAGGGAGCTGAAACTATACTTTAAAAAAAAAAAGTCCACAACTTCCAAACTCAGTCGGAAGTGCATGTTAGGAAATGAACCGAAATGGGGACCTGCTCCAAGTGCAGCTCAGCCGTGCCCGTGTGACTGATTTGGGGTGTTTTTAGGGGGGTGTGCAGGCTCTGATCGCCGCCCAGCACCAGCAGTCTCCCTCCGGGAGCCTCCGCGCCTCTCTGGATCCGAGCGGAGGGGGAAAATGTGATTTTTCTGTGGCCCGCGCCGCTCGCTTGCATGCGCGTCTGCTTCGCGACGCTGTCCCGGGGAAAGCGGACGATGGACCGGAGCTACCCAAGCCCGGGCTTCGGGGAGCCGCTGGCCGCGGCAGGCCAGAGCCCGGGCTGGGCCTACGAGCGCCCTGCCGCCGGCCTAACACCCAGGTAGGGCGAGCAGGACGGGACTGGGGGCCCAATTACCTTCCCAAGAAAATCCCGGTGATGAAAGGCCTAGCATATCCAGCAGCACCACGGTCCTATGTTAGCTAAAGTTAGCGCTTCTTATATTCGCAGCTCCTACCACCACCACCGCGTTCACTCGAGTAAATAAGTCAGTGTTTTTGTTTTTAATGTTGACGGAATCACTGTCGTGTTTCGCACTTTGCACTTTTTTACACACTAGGCTGAAACTGGCTTCCTATTCACCAGCTTCTTAGCTGAATTTTCCGTTCCACCTTAAATTTTGCAGCCGCTACATTCTGGCGCCTGAGCCCGAGGCGGCAGGATCAGAGCAGCTGCTGCGAAATTTAAGGTGGAACGGAAAAATTCGACTAAGAAGCTAACTTCAGCTTCGTCTAATCGCTGAATTAGTTTGTTCGTGAACAAAATAATAAGATATGATTGTAAACAGCTCAGTTTTATCTTTACTAAACCGGATATTTTTCACTCCACCCAAAATATTTTCGCTGTTTATTTCTTCATTAGCTAGTGTGGCTGTGACTATCAGCAGCTTTGCAGTGAAATAGCCAGCTAGCTTCCATGTAAACAGTGTGAAGAGCCACGTGTGTCCAGCTTAGCCTAATGTTATTACTATTTTCTCGTACTCCTTATTCATTTTTCCGTGATCTGGAACAAAATGTGTATTCATGTTCACTCAGAGACCCCAATTAATGCTTTATCCCTTTAAGAAGGGTGATATAGGAGAGGAACAGCGGAGGAAGGCGTCGTAGAGAAACGAGCAGGTGATAAACAGGCCAAAACTGATACACTTGCTTTTTACCCAAATCAAACAGAAGCTTCAAATAACCAATTTTAAATGTGTGACTACCTGTAAGTGGTGAGTCACGTGGTAATTTGGCTTTTAACTGTTAGTAAAACTTTGTTGTTGGTTTGGTTTAAGAGGTAAAGCTCTTATAAGCATATAACCCTTCCTGTTAAAAGGGAAAATCCACCTATTGTTCAGTATTTCTGCATAATTCAATCCTTGCTATGTAAACAAAGTCATTCAGAGTGGTTTGGTGTGAAATGGCTCATTGTAGAGAAGCTTACAGACTCAGATTTCTTTACAGTGGTGGTGATGGGAACCAGGGGTCACGTGTTTACAGCACAAATATAGCCATTTTAGTTACTGTCCAAAAGTTTTTTTTTTGTGCAGTGTTGATGATGGTAGAACAATAAAAAATAGTTTTTAAAGTGTTGCATCAGAACTACCATAAAACAATGTCTGTCATCAGACAGCGCATTTATAACCATTTCATGTAATGACTTTCTGCTGGCTTTTAGAGGCGTTAAACGCTTCAGATGTCTGGTTCCTATCACCACCATTGTCAGCAAGCCAGATTTGATTAGTTTCTCAAGGACAGAGTATTTCAAATCAAGCCACTCTGAATGGCTTTGTTTGCATCTTAACCGATGAATTATGCAGACATATTGAAAGATGATCGCAGTTCCTCTTTATGAGTAGGTGTTAGACAGTACATCAGCACTGGATATGGAGTTATATTTAACTCTGTGCTGTTAAGGTATCATAAAGTGTGATCTGAAACTGGTTGTTATCGACAACGTTAGAGCGCTACGTTGATTCGGCCTCTGTGAAAAGCCGTCCATCAATGCTGTCACTTTTGTTTTGTAATGAGCAGGTAATCTGAGTGTGAATGAGGGGGAAATCCGCTGATTTTTCAGTATTTCTCTGGAATTCAGTGATTGAGATGTGAACTAAGTCATTCACAGTGGTTAGATGTGAAATGGTTCTAAAGAAACTTGAAGTCTCAGATTTTCCACTGAGCTGGTGACAGGAGCCAAGGGTTTGAGATATCTACTACACAAACAGAGCTCACTGTTGATTGAGCTTGTTCAGAATATCATGAAGGAAAATTGCAAGAGATGAGACACACGGTTCATGTTCTGTCTGCTCATTTAATACAAGTAGTGCATGAGATCATATAAAAAGTGTATTACTGTGTCATAACCATTGCCCACCTATA